TTCTGGGGTCTCGGCTCTGCCTTCCCACCCGTGGCCCCTCGATCCCGGAAGCCGCCCTGGACGTCCCTTGTCTCGGGGCTGGCGGCCGTGCCCTGGGCCGGTCCCCCCTTCCTCCTCTGAGACAGCTTGCTGAGCAGCCCTTCACAGTCGATAATCTGCAGAAAGCACCATTTGTCACCGCATGGGCTTGGGGCCCGTCGCCGGTGCCCACTCCACACCACACTGCCCTTCAGTGTGCCGTTCTCAGGCACACGGTCCTGAAAGGTCCCAGCGTGAGGGGATCTGACCACCTGTTTAACCCCTTCCTCAAACGTAAGTGACCGGGGGGCCTATTTGCTCCAGGGAATAGCCTCTGAAACGTGCCTCGTGTGACAGGAGGCTGGAGTCCGGGGAACTGAATTCTGCTCAGTCCGCCATGTGGCTGTGGGCATCCCTCTACACACGGTGGACGCTGAGGGCAGGCCCTGAGCACTCCAGGTTGCCGTGTCCGGCATTGAGACGCCTGACCCCAGTGGTCATGGCCATACTTGCTGGGGCGCTGGCTCCAGCTGCCTCCTCCCCCAACAGGTCTCCGGGGCCAGTGGTAGTCTAATTGCATCTTCCCTTCCCCCCGGGACCCTGCTTGTCGAAGGGCCCTGCCTCGGACTGCTCTCTGCCTGCACACAAGGAGTGCCAGGTGGGTCCACAGGCCAAATGCTTTCAGAAGAACCCCCTGCGGGGCAGGTGGGATTGGGAGCTGCTGAAGGGAATGTGGGGGGGGGGAGGTGTCCCTTTCAGTGAGGCCGAGAAGGCAGAGACCAGAGAGCCAAGCGAGGTGCGTCCCCACGGTTTATTACGGAAGCCTATAAAAGAGCCACATGGAGTACTTTCAAAATCACAAAATGCACCACATTCATTTTTTTTAATATGCAACACGGAATATTATATACAGATGAAGCCCACGTGACAGCAAAAACACTCACACGGCACCGGTTTCATCTCCAAACAAAACACACAAGTGCTTTTTCAATATTAAAACAACTGTGATAAAAACATATTAATATTTTGAACCATGTTTACAATAGAGAAAAATTCATATTTTACTAAATAACAAATATTTAACAGCAAAAACTTTATACTAAATATCTATTTTGAATTATAACAAAAATAGTACTTATAATAGTTTATAAAGACAGACACAAAATTATAACATTTATGAAAAAAAAAAGTTTTGTGTATAAAATAATATCATGGCGATCTGGGCAGGGTCAGGATGGTGCCCAGAACACAAACACCAGCGCCCAACATCGAAAGTGCTTCAATCTGCAAGCCCGGGGCAGGAGAAGTGTTGTGGGGTTTTGTCTCTTTAACGTCAAGTTACGATCGTTAGGAATGGTAAGTGAGGAAACATCACCCATCTACGCTACATCTAGAAAACCTACACACAGACACACGGACACCGATGGGCGCACAGAGGAGAGATGGATGGACGTCGACATGGGAACCCCTCACCCAGCCGGCCAAGAGCTTTCTTCCTTCTCTGGTTACCTTTGAGACCCAGCAGGGCAAACGATCCTTCTTTCCTCCTCACAGGGACCCTCCTCAGCCTCCTCTCTGCCCCTCTCCAGCTGGTCACCCCACACGGAAGGTCCACTGAGGCCTTCCAGCGCCTTCCAGCCACCCACCCCCGCCAGGGCCATGCCCACGCCCAGCGGACTCCCTGCCTGAAGCTGCACCCGTGCATCCCTAGCTATTCGATCCAGCACGATTGGGCCGGGGCAAGCTGGGTTGGCTTGAAGGGTTAACTTCCGGGTTTTTTGTGGCCGGCCAATTCTGGTGGACCATGCAGCTATCCTGCAAGTTCTGATGAGTCTTAACACATTTTTGCCTGCTTTTCAGAATGCAGAGAAATTGAGAGATTTGACTAATTTTTTTAAAGGTCTATGTTTTGCCAATGATATCTGCTCCACGCTCTTTTTTAATAATGAAAAGGTAGAAACCAAATGAAGCAATTGAGGACAGGTGGTTCTGAGTGGGGTCCAGAGCCATCTGTCCCCACAGCACCATCAGAGGCGGCCACTGAGTGGTCACAGCGGTCGCCTCTTGGAGAGGCAAACGCATCGACACCTGGAACCTTCCTCTGTGTGCTGGCTTTCTTGTAAAGAGGATTCATCGCTTTTATAGCATCAGAAGCCAACTGAGAAACACAGACAGCAAAGAAAAATCCACAACCAGACAAGATCGCTGAAGACTCATCAAAGGCCCCAAACCAGCCCGGGGGGGCGTCCCAAATTGCGGACTCCAAATGCTGGTGGCAGCAGCTACCCCTCTTTCCCCCAGTCATCCCCCGACTGGCCCATTTCCAAGCAAATCACTTCTGACAACTCGCACATGCTCTCCTCAGCTCTCCCTGCAGCCTCCCTGCAGCCGCCTCAGGACCGCTGAGGAAGGGCTGCCTTCTAGCTCACCTCCCCTGGCCCTCGTCTCGTCCCACACCCTGAGCTGGGCTAAGCAGACAGTGGCATAGAGGTGGGAAGGGGCTTCAAGGACACCTTTCCAAGGCCGAAGGGTGAAGGTTAAGGAAGGGACAGTGGAGCCCCTCGCTCCCTGTCAGAGAAAGAACCCGTATCCTTCCCCACACTCACCAGCCAGTGGGGGCACCCCGCCCGGGGGACAGTGACTGGGAGATGGTGGCAGCCTCCAGGTCCCCAGGCTGTGGACAGAGGTGGGGGGCGGGGAGAAGCAGTGGGCCATTCCTCACCTTTAGCAGGGGGAAAAAGGCAGAGGTGATGGATTTCACCCCAGAAGTGCAGTTGAGGTTGAACCCACAGAAGGTCTGGAGCCTGGGGGAGCTTCTGAACCTCAGCCAGAGAGGCTGAGTCACGCGCAGAAGTCAGTCCCCGGGCAGCTGGGACGGAGGCTGGGGGGGTGGAGAAGGTGCAATTCCAGTCCCCAGTAACGCCCAGATTCGGTTAGATCAGTGAATAAATATGAGCCAAGGGCCTTGGGGGGGCGGGGGGCGGCGGGTAACAGTGGAGCAGGATGGGCTCAAGACCACTCGGCCGGGAGGTGGGGATGTCATTGCTGTGTGCATGCCCAGGGCCACCAGAGAGGATGCTGGGAGGACAGGGCCTGGAGCCCTTTGCCCCAACTTCAGAGGAAAGAAAAAAGTAGCAGCAATAGGTAATTTCAAATGTCCAAACTGGCAAAGGGGGGGACTCTAGGTGAAGACCAGGAGGGGCAGGTGCCTGATTCTGAAGAGAGGCAGGAGCGGGCGGGGGGCCGAAGAGCCCAACTCTTCCTCCTGCCCACCCCCCCATGTCGACCACATGACCTCAAACCAATAGGGTCCAAACGAAATGGGCAGGGAGGGATCCATTGGGAACATGACAAGCAAATGCTGCAGCGTGAGCTGGCTGCCATTTAACACTGTAACGGGCATGTGGAGCCCCCGCCATGCCCTGTCCCGGGAGCTAAGCTGGTGGGAACTGGAGAGAGACTGGGAGAAGCAGGAGCCAAAGAGCTGGGCCCTTTTGGCTTTGGGTAGGGCTTGCCAGGGAGAGAAAACGGGAGGGCCGGTATGGGGGCCGCTCCCCTTCCCTGGATTGCAGCCCCCTCCCACACACAGGTTTGTACCCTTCCATCGCCCCCACCCCAGGGCCCGGCCGGCTGAGGCAGGGGTGTGGCCAGGCTCCGTTAGACCGTGGCACTCAGCATGGCCTCCGTCTCGGGCAGGATCTTGTTCTGGTTCGAGTCCAGGCCAAAGAACTTGACACTGAGGCCATCCACGGGGTGCAGGACAGGGACCAGGGTGATGCGGGGGAAGGTCCGGGTGGCCAGCTCAAAGCGGCTGGTGCTGGCCAGCTCCACTGCCAGCACCTTCAGGAACAGCTTGGCCAGGTGCTTGCCCAGGCAGGTCCGGACGCCGCCGCCGAAGGGGAGGTAATGGAAGCGGCCGTCCTTGTCTTCGCTGCGAGCCTGGCCGAAGCGGTCGGGGTCAAACACGTTCACGTCTTTGAACACAGGCGCCGTGTCGTGAGTATCCCGGATGCTGTACATGACGCTCCATCCTTTGGGGATCTGGAAACCCTGGAGGCAAGATGGGGAAGGGGGTGGTGGTGAGGCCAGCGGAGATCCAAGAGGGCCCGGACTCCCTGCCTGCCAGCCCCCCGCCCCCCAGATGTTCCCAGGGACACCCTACTGCGATCCCCTGGCCTGGCCAGCACCCTCAGCATGTGAGTTGTCTTATTTACAGAGTGTCTACATGCAACGTCATATATGACACCCACGCTGGCTTCGTCCGACCCAGCATTTGGGTCGAGGTCTCGCCCATCAGATCGAAAGCTCCTTGGAAACAAGGGCTGTCTCCCCATCAGACTGAGGTACCCCGAGGAGGGGAGTCTGTTCTTTCCCATCAGCCCAAGGCAGTGCTCCCACGGGCCCCCTGAGGCCCACCCCCAGGGGCCCAGGCTCACGTCGAGCTCGAAGGTCTGCAGCACGGTGCGGTAGCCGCCGGAGATGGGCGTGAAGAGGCGCATGACCTCCTTGATGACGCAGTCCAGGTAGTGCAGGCCACTGAGCGTGTCCAGGTGCAGCGTGCCCTCGCAGGCGCAGCCGCCGCTGTGCAGGAGGCCGTGGGCCCGCAGCTCCTCCCGCAGCTTCTCCAGCACCGCCGGGTGCTTCAGCAGCTGCATGATGAGCGAGGTGCTGGCGCTGGCGGTGGTGGCGTAGGCCGCAAAGATCAGCTCCAGGGTCCCGTCCTGCGCGCAGAGAGGAGAGGCACCGTGAGGGATTCGCTCAGCCAGGCAGACCCAGCCCGGGGGAACCCCACTCTGCCAGGGTCCCCTGAGCCTCAGCGTCCTCTAGCTGGGTCCTGCCTGCTTCCTCCAAGCCTCATGTTGCTGGAGCCTTTGGGC